CCCAAGGAAAGTTAAGGCTTCCCAGGGTCCTGTCCCCACCATAGCACTGAGTGAGCTGCACCCCCGTCATGGCCCCCCACAAGACAGGGACCCCACCCACGGCAGACAGAAGGAGATGCTGAAGGTGGGGGGAGCAACATCTAGAGACTGGAGAGGTGGCATCGGGGCTGGGTGGGGGGGGTTAGCAGGGCTAACCTGGGAACCTCCTGGAGAAGGGTGCAGCCCACAGTGATAGTCAGCAGAGACCGCACAGTGTCTGTGGGCCCGGTGTCGGGGAGACCCGTCTGCCCCCACAGAGTGGCAGCTTGACTGGCTCGGAAATCACCACCATGACACAGGCTGTGCAGGAGCTGGGGTCGGCCTGGCTTTTGCTCGAGCCTAGTTCCAAGTAACCCATGCAGTTCCAGGCAGGCTGCGAAAACCTCTGTGAGCCTCAGTTTCCTCATCCATATAAACGGGGTAATAATAGCTACCCCAAGTGTGCTTGTGGAGATGAAACAAAAGCAGATCAAGTGTGAGGTGCTTCTAAGGTGTGACTCATCCCCACTGTGGCTGACCTTCCCAGGGTGTTCCCTGTTAGCATCACAAACCTGAGTGCAGGCTTCCCACAGCAGCGCAGCTGGAAGAGACCTACATGTGGCCGAACTAGACTGTTTGTACGGTACCCTGCCCATGAGCTCACCAGCTCGACAGGGTCCTTCAGCAACCCAAAAAGCCAGTCTGCAACCCCAAAGCAGCAGGCTGCAAAGCTGGAGCTCCCCTCTCAGCCCATCCTCCCAAGTCTCAGGGCAGGGCTGTGGGCATGGAGCCACCACCACCAGCCAGGGCCCAGGAAAGGTCCATCGTCTGAGCAAGCCCAACCCCAGGAGTGTGGGGAGCTGGAGCCAGGAGACCTGGACAGTCCATTTCCTCCCCAGAGGCCTGCAGAGACCAGTGCCACTGAGGACAGCCTCTTCGCCCAGGCAGGGCATCTGTCAATATTCTGAAGTTCTCCTTCCTGTCTATTTTTCCTTGCTTCCCAAAAAAGTTTCCACAAAGGACAGACATCTACTGGGAGCAGAAATGTAAACAAGCCAAACTAAGGAAACCAAATAAGGGAGGAGAGAATCATGGCAGGAATATAGATGCTGCCACAGAGACTGCACGTAGCACTGAGGTTCCCAGTAGTCAAGGCAAGAATGAACAGTAGAGATGCCAAACTCTCGGGTAAAAGAGGAGTATTTGTCCACGAAGCAAGCCATCTGCAGACTGAGAGGAAAGACATCAGCAGGAAGCCAGTCCCAGGGGCTTCTAATAGTCTGTAATGTAAGGTGATATCTGCATGCTAGGAGACAAATGATCCCCAGCAACCCATCAGAAACCTGAATTTTACTTCTAAGTACTTAGCTTACTCGAAACGAGTTAGAGGCTACAAGGGGAGAGACGGAGCCAGTGTCCTTCATTCAGCACCTTCTACACACATCCATTGGGTGAGCACTCACCGGACATGACTGACAGCCTCTGCCAGGGCTGTTGGACACCTGTGCCCTGGCGTCCTCACGCCTGCCTCGCAGGGTGCTGGCATCCTGCTCGTGTCACTGACGAGTGATGAGGCCTGGGAGAGGGCACACTGCCTCTGCACAGCCAGGCAGGCCCTGTCCAGGGCCAAGCTCACGTCTCCACAGCACCTCTACAGGTTTGGAGTCGGGGGGACGCTTCCCACTTGAGCCTCAGAGGAGAGCAAGACTTGGAGCCACACAGCCAGTCAGTGGTCAAGGCGAGAGCACAGTCCAGACCCCCAACTCCTAAGCCCAACCCCAACCCAACCCAAGCTGGGAGAAGCAAGTGAAGCCCCCAGGACCGGAGAGGTCAAGGGCCCGGGGCTAATGTGAGGATCATGGAGCAAGGATCTTACACCATAACAAACCCCCCTGGACAGGATGGCTACAACCACAGTCACCCTAAGTAAGACCTGCAGGCAGGCAAGGACTCCCGCGCTCCCAATAGGAACGTAAAGGTCGAGCCCCTGTGAAAACACAGACCCCGTGACCAGCGACTCCACCACTAAGCATTCACCCCCAACTCTGAGTGGGTACTAAACACACGGACACACACACACTCACAGCAGCAGTGATAGGGCTGGTACATGCTCATAATCTCAGCTGGAGGCTGAGGCAGGAGAATCTCATGAGTTCCATCCCAGCTGGAACACTATACCATGTGGGAATAAACAGGTATCACAGGATTCCATTTCTAGGAAATATTCAGCAGATTTATCCATGGAGGTAGAAAGCAGATTGGTGGTTTCCCAGGGCTGGGAAGAGAGGAACATGGAAAAACTGTTCATTAAGTTAGTTGTGAATGGTGGAAATGTTCTGGAGCTAGACAGACAGGAGGTTGCACAGCACCGAAAATGCTGTAAATATCAGTGAACTGTATGCTTTAAAATAGTTTATTGTGGGCTGAGCCCAGTGGTGCACATCTATAATCCCAGCAGTCAGGAGGCTGAAGAAGAAGGATCAAAAGTTCAAGACCAGCCTGGGCTACAAAGTGAGGTCAAGACCAGCCTAACTGCATAGCAAGATCCTGTCTCAAAGAGACATAAAAAAAAAAAAAAAAAAAATGAGGCGAATAATAATAATAAAATAGTTTAATTGTGTTATATAGATTTTACTTTAATAAATTGCTTTTAATTTTTTTTTGAGACAAAGTCTTATTATATAATCGAGGCTGGTTCAAATTCATGGTGATCCTCCTGCCTCAGCTTCCAGAGTGCTGGGATCACAGATATGCACCACCACACCCACCTAATTTTTTAAGTTTTGAGAGAAAACATTTTGGGCCAGTACCAGGTAAGTCTGCTACTTTGCATTAAATTAAAATTTAAACACCAGCTATATTTTTAAGGAAAAAAAGGTGGTAAGAAAGGCTGGACCATTCCTGTAATCCCAGCACTCGGGAGGCTGAGTCAGGAGGCTTGCCAAAGCTTGAGGCCCTCCCGGATTCCATAGTGAGACCCTGTCTCCAAAAACAAAAACAAAAGAACAAGAACAACAAAAAGATAGTAAACACAGAAAGCAAGGTAGCCAGCGTGACACCTGGAGCACACTGGGAGCTTCTTGGCCCTCTGGCCCTAGGGCAAGGAGATGGGCAGATCTGTCGTCGGGGGCATCTCACTAAGTGAGCTCCTTCCAACCATAAGAGGCCCAGCTTACGGGAAGTTCTCCAGCCCTGGTACTCACAGGACCTAGTAGTTCAGTTTTCTGTGGAGCAAATCCCCAGGTTTGTCCTCAATTACCACCCGAGAGCCCCATAGGGGTGGGGAGAAGGCAGGCCCCAAGGTCTGCTCCCATGCATGCCCCTCACCTCATTCTAGAACACAGTCAGAACATCACCTGTCTCCTTCTGTCCCCCAAAAGCAAAATAACCTTGACTGAAATCTGGCACCTACTTTGATGGGTCCATCAGGAGCTGGCCAGGGCAGAGCAGAGAGAGGCAGCTCCCAAATGCCACCTCACATCTCCTCTGACCCACTGACAGGGCATCCCAGCTCTGGGGGTCCCAGTCCTGCCCACAGGGCTCTGTCTGGACCGCAAGTCGGGACTCAGGTGCAGCCCTCCTGCTTCTGTCCACCCTGCAGCCCTGTCCTTGGCCTCCTGAGCGAGAACAGCTTAGACTTTACACAGCTGCTTTGTTGTGTGGATGGGGAAACTGAGGCACTGAGGAGCTCCCTGCCCACTCTCTGAAGCAAATGGGCTTAAGCCAGGCAGTGCTTGGGTAAGTTATCTAGAAGTTGTTTTGTCCCAGGGAGGAACAGGACAAGCAGCCCTGCCCCAGGGTGGTCTGAAGATTAAAGCCGATCCCCAAAACCAAAGGCAGCCGGTGGCAGCTATGGAGTACCACTTTCAGAGCACGCAGGAGATGGCTGGACGGGGGCTCCTCCTTCCTAGACCAGCCCCGGCCCCACAGTCTGACCCTCTCCTTAAGACATGGACACGTGGAGAAAGGAGGGGGTGGGGAGTATGGTCATCCGCATACCATGGCTGCCTCTGAGCCTGCTCAGGCCTCCTACGCTCAGTGATCTCCCCTTCCACACGCAGGCCTGCCGAGGTCCTGCTTCCTGTCCAGTAAAATGAGAACTCTGAGGACTTAGCAGGGCTGTCCAGAGGCGCAAAAGGGGAAACACAGTCAGCAGGCTTTGCCAAGCCTCAGGGTACCGCCTCTGCCCTCCTGTGAGGAAAGCTCCTGGGAGAAGGAGCCAGGGAGTCGCCCTGCTTGGTCTGCGAGCTTCACAAGGCCAGGGCTGGATGCACAGGGCGACAGGCGTGGGATGGGGCTGCCCGACCAGAGGCCAGCAGGACAGGGCCAAGACCGAGAATCCGAGTGCAGGGCCGGGCCGCAGCCTCCCCTCCCCGGGTTCCATGCTACAGATGGTAAGGCAGAGGCTTTCTGGGTAGGTTTTGCACACACAAAATCACAGCCGCACAGGGCAGAGAGGAGACTTGGAGCTGTGCCACTCAAGGCCAAGGCTGAGGCTATCTGGCCACCCTCCCCCACCCTCCGCCCTCAGCAGCTGGGCAGAGCAGCCAGGGCTGCCTCCTGGGCACAGTGGCAGCCAGGGTCATGCCAGGCCACATTCGATCCTGGAACTGGGGCTTAAAGATGCTCCCCATCTGTCCTTGAGTGCTCAGCAGGACAGAGACATACACTGTGCTCTGTGCCCAGGACACGGTCCAGCTGCACTGCCAATGAGAAAGCAACAGGCTCTCCATAAGCCCAAAGCTGTTGTTCATCAGTCCTCCACTGTCAAAAGCCGGAGAACAACCCAGAGTTGGCCAGACAGCCCAGCAACCTCATCTACCACAGCATGCACTTAGTTGCTCCCAGAGACGAGGGCTCACTCCCTTCTGACCCAGACCCTCCTCCTCAGGAGCAAGTCTGCCTGTCTCAGTTCTTCCAGCCCCCACACCATAGCTCCTCCTAGGGGTCTCCTCCTCGTCTGCCACCTCTCATTCCCCTACCTCCTGCAGGCCCAGAAAGGTCTGGAGGGTTTGAACCCAGGCACCCTGGGGCACAGCTGATTGCCTCCCAGCCCAGAATCCACATTCCTCGGCAGTCATCCACACTGAGCCTTGGCAGCAAGGTGGCCACTCAGAGGCCCTGAAGGAAAGACCAGGCCTCCTCCTCAGAGCTTTCAGGGACCTCCCCTCCCCAAGAATTCTAGGTCCTGCCTCTGGGTCACCATGGCAACAGGCAGACAGGCTCAGGCCCTGTATTCTGCAAGCCACCTCCTTCACCCTGGAGCTTGGATGAGGGAGAGAACAAGAGGGGTGGGAGGAGAGGAGAGCAGTTACCAAGAGAGAAGAAGCAAGAGTTAGAGAAGGAAGGAAAGAGGGCAGGGATTGGGAAAGCAGAAAAAAGATGGGATCAGAGGGAAAAATAAGCTGGTAAGCAGCAGAGCAAGTAGAAGACACACACTTCTGGGAGCCGCCTCCCCACTGCACGCGTACACACACATGCACATGGACAGGCATGCACACGTGCGCACACAGCCAGTTTGAGCCGCTCTCAGCCAGCAGCAGGATTCTGGCCACTGCGGGACTTCCTGCCCCAGGAAGCTGGCAGCCTGGTGCCCCTTCAAGGCCCCAGCTGAAGCTCCAGACCCCTCCTGCTGAGGGACAGTGTCCTCCTCTTCCCCTTCCAGACAGCACCTCCCCACTCAGGGTACCACCACCCCCTCCCCCCAATGCCTAAAGGTCCTTGCAGCTCTCCCACCCCTCAGCCTCCTCCTTCCCGTCCTAACCAGATTCCCTTTACACAAAACAGTGACTTCTTATTCCTCCCTGAAGTGTTCGAGGAGCTGGTCCTGAGCAGAGCAGAGCAGGCCAGGAGGGCTAGGATTTATCTCACTGCATGGGAGGTGAGGAGGTCTCAGAATAAGGCTTAGCAAGAGGACTCCAGCCCTAAACTGGCTGATATGGGGGCCGGAGAGACACCGCTGGGCCTAGCCACAGCCCGTGTGCTTTACCACAACACTGTGCACCAGGACTACACTCTCCGAGACCTCTCCAGCTTCAGACTGGCCTGGCCTGGCCTGGCCTAGCCTCACCCCATCACTGCCTTTTATGCATTGTATCAAAGGCATCTGAAGCCACAAGAAACTTCAAAGAAGAAAAATGAGAAGGGTGAAAAAAAAGAAGAGGGCCTGGGGATTTAGCTCAGCGGCATAAGCGCCTGCCTTGCAAGCAGGCAGTCATGGGTTCGATCCCTGGTACCGATAAAAAGGAAAAAGACAAAAAAAAAAAAAGAAAAAAAAGAAGAAAAACTCAGGAAAGCCCAGCAGGTTCAGAATACACCCCATTTGGCCCTGCTTCTGTGCTGCTGGACAACCCAAGCCATTACTCAAGTCCCTCTGAACCTCACTTTGCACGTCCATAAAATGGGGACAGAAACATCACAGGAAAGACTCAGTGAGACTGTGCTCAGATCAGACCCAGGACCATAGTTCTGTGCGCTTAAAAAGCCAGGGTGTCTGCACTGGATAAGAGATATTGCTAAGACTGCCAGGTCTCTGCAGGGTGGACAGGGTCAGACAGGGCCATGACTTTCACACTCCCTCCTCACTGTACCCACTGGACCCCAAATCTATCACCACAGCTCTTATCTACCCAGAACCCAGGCTGAACAGGATGGAGTCTGTGGCTCATCTCAAAGCTGCTACCCTGGGGGTGACCACTAATCGGGAAGTTCTTGGACGCTAAGGCCGTGATCACCAGAAAACAACATGGGTTCACTGAGGATGCAGCATATATATGACAGGAACAGACACAGCTGTATATTCTGAATTCACGCTGACCCAGAGCATCCACAACCTTGGTAAAAATGTGTCCCATGAACCCCAGGAGGTGTCACCAGTGGGTGTCATGTTTGCTGGCCCCTTCTGATGCTAGGTGAAACGGCCTGAAAGAAGACACGGCTGTCAGTGGGGGCCACACAAAACACCCTAACAGGAGCCCAAAGCAAAGCCCGGGGACGTGGAAGAGCCTTGACACCAGCCTGCACTTCCTCTCCCACATCACCACTTCAAGCTGTTTTCCTCCTGCTGCAGTGGCTCTAGTTTAATGGCTGTTTATGTGATTTCTTCTGTCCAGAAGCTCCACAGTGACAGCTCCAGCTAAGACTAAAGCAGAGTCCTGTGGCCAGCCTGGAAGGCTTCCCGCTCCAGAGAGGGTGGGGGTGGGTGGGGTGGGGACACCAGGCTAGGGATGCAATGACTCAGTGGGAGGAGGTGCCCCAGACTGGGGCCCTGTGCAGGCTGGAAGTCCAGGCATGGGGCGTGGCCAGGAGGGACATCTGAGAGCGGCCTGGGTCAAAGGACAGGAGGAATGCTGGCTAATGAGCTTGAAACCCAGACACACAAGGGCAGTCAGGTTAGGAAGCCCCCTGCGGCACCAACTAGGGGTCAACATGTGTCCTCAGTTCCTACAAGGCTCAGGCAGCACAACGAGAGACAGGACAGTGTCCTCACTGGCAGACAGTAAACAAAAGGAACAGGCTGGGGATTCAGCTCAGTGGCACAAGTGCCTGTCTGACAAGTGCGAGGTCATGAGTTCATGAGTTCGATCCCGGTACCAAAAAAAAAAAGATTACTAACAAAAGGAACAAGGTCAGGTTAGAGAAAGAAAAATGCTACCAGAAAGAAAAAACAGGGGCTGTGACCAAGAAAGAAGGCAGGGCGGTTTGTGGTAAAGGATGCAGGTGTAGGGGAGGAGGCTTTCAGGCTAAGACCTGGGCAAACGATAAGCAGCAATTGTGCAAGGACCTGGGGTTACAGAGTAACAGGCACGGAGAGCAGGGGTGCTAACTTCCAAGAGGTCAGGAGCCATGGCCAGTAGAGGAAGAGAAGGGACAATTCTGGGGAGCTAGGTGGGTCCCCGAAGGTCTGCCGTAGAAGAAAGGAATCCTGGTGGCTGTCGGGGAGTGAGGTGAGCAGCCCTGCACCTCAGATCTCTATGCTACTGGGTGGAGGTGCCTAGGGTGAGGGAGGGGACGGCGGGAGAAGTCCGCAGGGATGGAACCAGGACATCCCAGATGAAGCTCAGCATTTAAAGGAAAGATCAAGGCGTCCTGTGCACAGCCCAGAAGACAGGCAGCTGCAGACACAGCACGTGGGTATCTAAGACCTGCATGTCTCTGTGACCTTGTTGTAGGTTAAAGGCCACCAGTTTTTGCTATGATTCCCACTAAGAGGTAGAGTTCGAGACCCATCCCTGCATCCGAGTCACCTTTGGTCATGAGAAGTCATGCAGCTTCCACAAGGCCTTGTGGAGCTCTTTCCTCCCCTGAGATGGGAGGCCACGTGTAGGGGTTGTGACCAACAGTCCCCACTAAGCCCAATCCTGCAGCCATACTCACCACAGAGCAGTGGCACCATCTTGGAATCCCCTCTTCCCTACCAAACCCCCACCAGTGCTCCATGGGGAGGAAGCACCCAGCCAAGCCAAGTCCCAGGTCCTGACCCACAAAATCACTAGCCATCGGAAAAGGTGGTTGTTCTAAGCTACTCAGTTTCAGGGCAGCTGGCTCTGTAACCCTGGTATCTGGAACAGACATCATACCAGCAAACTGCATAAAGAGAAATTTGCGTGCGCCATAGGAAGGAAGAGCCTACCAAGGAGACAGTGGGGAACGGCCAGCCATGCAGGAGGAGCCCTGGGAAGGGTGGCTTTCCAGAAGGAGCCAAGCAGAGTCAAGGCAGATGAGGAGAGAAGCTGTCCCTGATTTGATCAAAGGAAGGAAGGTCTTGTAACTTTTCTCATTGGTGAGACAAAATACCCAACACTCGAAATTAAAGGAGAAGAGGTTTATTTAGCTCACAGTGTGCAGAGGTTTCAGTACACAGTTGGCTGGGTCCAAGGCAGGGTGGCATGGCAGAAGGGCATCAGAGAGGAGAAACAGCTCATGGCAGGCAGAAGGCATCAAAGCAGGAAGCAGCAAGAGACAGCAACCCTCTTCCTGGCCCTTGTAGCTTATCCAGGGTACCTAGCCTTAGGGCGGGTAGCACTCACACCCGGGGACAGGCAGCCTTGATCCTAGCATGGCACCAAGAGTTAACCCCAGCATCACACACCCCAGGTCCAGTCACCTCGGAAAGGCCCCATCTATGACCCCATGAGGGACATCTAGACACAAACTGTAACCGGAAGAATAGGAAGTCCAGTCACAGCGACTTGGGGAAAGGATGAGAGGTAAGCAAGTGGACAGGACACCACGAGAGAGGTCTTTCTATAAGAAGGACCAAAGAAACCAAGTAGTAGCTGGACATGGGGACGGGGAAGGGCTTTGTTGGGCTGAAGGTTGGGAACACTGCAGCTCATTTGTCTGTTAAGTGACAGAGCCAGCAGGATTCCACAGAGCTGGAAAGCTGCCCACCGGTGGGGCAGGGGCTGCCTAGGGAAAGCCTTTTAATTCTTTTAGATCCATTTTAGAAATCCATGGCTGCCATTTACTGAGACCTACTGTGTACAAGGCCCAGGGGCTCTTTTAGCTCACACCTCTGCTCTAAACAAGGAATCCTCGTTTCAGGAATGAAGCAAAGGGGACTTGGCGTTGTACTGCTTTATGGTCACCTACCCACGGCTGCGGGTGCACAGCTTTGCCTTCTTTTACATGGCCCAAACTCACTCTGCAGAGCCCAGTTTTCCCCCCTCTCTTCAACAAAACTTTGCTGCAGTTGGAGGAGAAAAAGAAAAGAAAATCTATCACCCTGGCCAGTGAAAGGCACAGGGGACTGGACTGGAGCTCTCCCAATTCCAGAGCCTGGCGGAGGAGATGCTGGCCAGGGGGAAGACAGGTCACCAGCCCAGGGCACTTCTGAGACGGAGCCTGCACTTCGCACACCCTCTGTGCCTTGCCTCTCAGCAACTCTGCCGCCCAGGCAGTGGGGGATGGAGCTGCTTGGAGAGGTAGACCCCACCAGGAGCCCCATCTGGGCTGTGGGGATGTCTAAGGTAAGGACACAGAGCTGTTACTGTCACCACGGCCACTCTGCATCCAGAGGGCCAGCCCATCTGGCTCAGAAGTCCCTCCAGCCCTCTGCAGGCCTAGCCTCAGACCTGAACCCGCAGGGGGGAGACACACCTTCTCTTTGTCTGCAGCTAGCCGGAAGCCAGCTTTTATCTTCAAAAGCAAGGGCAGGGCCAGCTCAGAGTCCCAGGGGGCCCTCGGGTGGGGCTGTAAGGGTTGAGAAGCAGGCCTGGGCCCTTGGGTCTCTTGGGGAGACTCCACCCCAGCCCCAAAGTTGCTTACCCTTGACCCTGTCTCCTGTCTGTGCCCACCCGGGCCTGGGCCCCTGGGCCCCAACCATGAAGCCAATGCTCTCAGAGCCCTAGGCTGCCGCTGGCCTC